AATCATAAATAATAAATAACTCAGCCACAACATAATGTATAACTCAGCTACAGTAATCAATAACTCAGCCAAAACATAATCAATAACTCAGTCGGATCATAATCAATAACTCAGCCACTTCATAAATCAAACTCAACTCAGCCACACTATACAATAACTCAGTAACAACATAATCTATAACTCAGACACGACGTAAATCGAACTCAGGCACAACATACCAGAGAAGATGAGAAGATGATGTCGTAGATACGATTACGTCGAAACTTTTGCGGAGAAGAGGATGTCGACGAAGATGATATCGGAGACGGTTAGTGTTTAACGAGGTCGACGAAGATGATTTAAGATATCGGAAACACCGTTTGAAACGAGAGTATTAGTTGTGACGGAGATGATTTCGGGATTTCGTAATCGGTTAGGGTTTAACGATAGTTGGACGGAGAAGAATGTAACATTAAGACTTTTTTTTTGTTCACCGGAGATATGGGACTGTTGATTTTCCAGTGTAACTGATGACACAAATTAGTTAGTGACGTGGATTGTCAAATTATGATGTGGATTTAATAATTAAAATTTGTATCAATAGTAACAAAATTAAACAAGGGTGTTTATTGTAATTTACTAGGAGTCTAAAAAAATTCTAGTAATTTTTAGAAAATATATACTATTCTAGTCATATACAAGCTTTTGTGTATCATTCTAGTAATTTTCTCTTATATAAAAGGACACATTTTATTTTCTCTTTACATTTCAAGACACATTATAATTTTGGCACACTTTTTATGTAAGGCCTAGTAAATTAGAGACTAAAATGTCCCTATCAAAGAAAGTAAAATTTAAAGGAGCTAATTTTTTATGTTAATAAATTAAACGATAAATTGTGAAATAAATCAAAATGAAGAAAAACGAAGAGGATGTGGTGATTACAAAGCCGTGGATCAAAAATAGTGGTTATATGTGTATATTAAGGATGTATTGTAACTGTTGTGGATGTGATTGTTGTGGTTGGAATATATATTGTACAAAATCGCTAACACATATAATATGGATGTGATAGGATGAATATGTAAAGTAACAAAAAAATTTAACTTGATAATCATACATAATGATGTTTCATAATGTAAAAAACCTAGAAATCACAGATGTAGGTATCGGAAGAAGAAATATGGACAAGCGTGATGTGGACTGGTGATTTGTGGATGATTGAGTCATGCGGTGGAGAAGTGTGAACATGAGTGATTTGTGGATGATGGAAATATGAACTTTATGGTTATGGTTAGTGGAAGTTTTCTGGAAATTTTGGATATGCAGAGAAAGAGTAAGAAGAGAACAAATGCAAATGAGAACAAGGATATTCTTCTTTCTCCTCCCTCCACCATGGCAGAACTGAATCTAGCTTAGTTAAACCGGATCTTTCCTAAACTCACCAAAGTCTTGAAAAAGAGTCCACTTCCATCTCCATTGCTAAAAATCCCTCCAGCAACACCAAAGGAACCCTCCAATGTAGGTGAATCAGAGCCGTTTATGTATAAGTTAAGCTCTCTGTCAAGCTCTTTTTTACATCCATCCCCGAAACATGGATCTTCGTTATCTCTAAGCATTTCCCCTCATCTCAGCTCAGGTAATGAAATCATTACCACCTAACAAGAAAATCCGACAAAATCAATTATAAGATTATGGTCTTACAAAGCATAAAGACTCATTGTTTGAAACGATTACATAATAGGACGTGATATCGATGGCTAAGATAGTGGTGGACATGAGATTCGTGGACAACAACTTCGTGGATAGAAGGAGAGACATGTTCCGATGACAATAAGAAATCAACACATGAAATCGGATTATGGTGATAGTTATGGGTTACTAAGAGGAGTTTTTAAAGAAAAATCAAACCTTGCAAATTAAAGGACTTTGGAAAGATAGATGCGAAAGAAGAACATGAGTTACGAATGAGAAAAAGGATTTCGAGATTTGAACTCATAAAAAATATAAGAAAGAAACAATGATAGAAATGCATAGATGTTCTGCTGATGAAAAAGTTATAAAGTTAAGAAGGCGTCATCGGAGAATCTAATAAAAAGATAGAAACAAAGATGAAAGAGAAAAATTTGGATGAAATTAAATTTAGGAATTTTGACTATATGAGAAACAATAATATGTAACTTTTGAAAGGTAAATTTGACAAATCATCATCTAAATGTATTCTCCCTAACCAAAGTGTCTTTATGTGTAATTGAAAACACATAAAGTGTCTCCGAGCGTAATATCCCCTATATATTAAAGAAGAAATATTACAACATTTTTTGTAGCCACATATCATTACCACAATCATTTTTAAAATTGTTAAAAAAAATATGTTGGTCCATATAAATATATAATAAGCTTTTTATTAAATTAATCATATATTAATTATTAATGTTATTCATTGTTTCCTTAAATAAAAATAACGAAATTTCCAAATATGGCTAAAGTATATATGACAATTAATGATTTTCAACAATAAAGATTTGATAAAAATAGTATATTCTCTATTATTTTAAAAAAATTTAACTTATTAAAAAAATAAACAACCGCATTAACTATATAATAAAAATTTAGATGTTTTGCATATATTATATATTAAACTTTTAAAGACGATTAAAAATGACTAAAGTTGTTTAAATCTCACACTGATTTTTCTGATCCATGATTTAAAATTTATGTTATAAGGAAATATAAATGATTAAAAGTTTTGTTATAAAAATATATAAATGATCAAAAAACAATATGAGTATAAACTATAATTTAACAAATATTGATATTAAAATGTACTATATTTCTATGTTAATATCATTTAAACTTGATTGTATACCATTAAAAATAGAAAAAGTGTTGAATTAATAAAATTTATTTATGTGTTTACACCAATTTAATTATATACCTAATAGTTACTGAAATTTTAAATACCAATATATATTTATTATTTCATAATATATAAAATAATATATAATACGTAAAAATAATTTATATATCATATTCATTCCGCGCAAGGAGCAGAACGTTTTCTAATAATAATGATTAGACTAACCAATCAACTTAACTTGTAAAACGAGTTGGCTTAGGTTTTCGGACCAAAAATACAAATAGAAAAATAAACTCACTTAAAACATTAATGGTGGGCGAGGGCATTAATGGAGGTCACACAAAAGAAAGGTCAGAGAAGGCAAAATTGAAGGTGATTGTATACAAAAGTAGGTCTTTCAGTTTTGCACAGAGGAAGCTCATGACATTCACCAAAGCGGCACGAATGAAGTTCAAGTTTTTAATTAGGCTTTCGCTTCTTGGGACATAATTTATATCATTTCATACGTTTGATCTTGTTTCCATGTGACTCTCCTCTTATCTACCGTGAGTCTCATCAATTTCGTAAACGCTATGTTAACGATCCACGTATCTTATATACACCTTTTTTCTCGCCGTACATACTTCAACCTACTTCCTAACTTATCATTTTACTACTCACAGTTTGATCATGAAGTCACTTCTTGTCCTTGTCCTTTTCCTCTGTTTCTTTTTCGGCTCGACCGTCGCTAGTAGGCATTTCACGTCCCCTTATCCAAGTATGTGTGCTCTCTTCTCTCTCACTCTCCTTAATTTTCACTATCTTCAAGGTTTCCTAATTATGTTTTGTGTGCGTTCGCAGGTCATCACCATCGTGTGGAAATGAAGACTGGGAAAATGAAGCGTCAGAGGAGGCCGGACACGGTGCAGGTGGCTGGGTCTAGGTTGCCGGACTGCTCTCACGCGTGTGGCTCATGCTCCCCATGCCGTCTTGTGATGGTTAGCTTCGTTTGTGCAACGCTACAAGAGGCTGAGACTTGTCCCATGGCTTATAAGTGCATGTGCAAGAACAAATCCTACCCTGTCCCATGATGAGCCTCTCTTACCCTTAACTGCATTCAAACGTTTTGTTTTGTTTTTCCTTTTGCTTGCTCGGGTAAATGACCATGTATAAACTGCATCTTTTCTTCTTTAAAAAAAAAAACGTTTGGTGCTTTAATCCCTCCACTTAGGGGACTTTAGACACAGTTTTATGAAACGAGATTAGTTAAGCCTACTCAAAAGTGTGGTCAACTAAAATGAAAGAGCAACTCATTGGGCTCTGCAAGTATATTTTGGGCCATGAGACCGCATATCAGACTTCAACAACCAAAGTTGTAGAAAGAATAATATTTAAAGGGCACGTAGTACTTTCTATACGTTGTTGGCTGCCAATGCCACCAAACTTTGGAGGCTCTGTAATAATTAGCACACTCCATTCTACGCATTTGTTACACACCATCTATTTTCAACCATCTCATCTCACCTTCGTTAAATGTTTCCACAGTTAGCTCAATAATTCACTATATGTACAGAGACATACACCTTCCCTCCACAATATCAAACAAACACTCATTCTTCCCAACTACAATAAAAAAAAACAAATGACTTCGTCCCTGCTAACACCCGCAGCAGCAGCAGTCACTATCATGCTTCTTAGCCTACTGCTTGGATCTGTAGAGCAAGTTAGCGGACTGCGTCATATTCCCAAGTCCCATAAGAAGACCACCACTGATGTCAAACACCCTGATTTTCTAGTCACCATTGAGCCCAAACCAACTATTCTCATCCCCGGTGTTGGAAGGTTCTTGCTTCCTCCCAAATGTAAGAAACCATTCTTCCCTTACAATCCTGTGACTGGAGCTCCCCTTACTGGTGGGTCTATCGGTGGCCTCCCATCATACGGTGGTGGACAAGGGGCCGGAACTCGCACCCAGCTCCCTGGTGGCGATGATACCCTTGTCCCAAACCCCGGATATGAAGCTCCTATTGGTGGAGCTGGCGCTGGAACAACCGCTCCTATTGGTGGAGCTGGCGCTGGAACCAACGGCCAAGTTCCTCCGGTCCCACAACCCTGATTTCTTTTTCAATCTGTCAACAAATAAGCATTTCTTAGATGCAAAATGGTCTATTTGAGTCTTGCCTTCTGGTTTGCTAGCCTTTACCGTAAGAGTCATATGTTATGTCTTGTTCTTCACTTTATGTCGTCAGAAGGAATCTAGAGTTTGTTTACATGCCATTACAATTAAATATCAAAATGCTTTATGATACATGTACCCGTACTCCTCCATATTGCACTAGATACTACTAAGTACACTATAGATGAGATAAACTAATCAAAGCTGATGTGAAATACACCAATTCAAATACTCTAATCAAAGCTGAAAACACTAATCACCTATTCGAATTATTCCATAGAAAAGGTATAACCAAAAAAAAAAAAAACAACTACAACCTAATGATACGCTGATGCAAAAGGGATAATGGAAGCCAAGACACTGGCTAGGAGAAAACAACCAAGCAGGCTTAATGGATTTCTTATAATTCATCTTAGCAGTAGAAAAAAATAATAGACCTTGTCGAAAGTAAAACAAAGAGACTTGTGTATTTCTTCGTTCTACAATCTATACCATTAAAGAAGGTGATTATTATATCACCACTGCTACTGTTAAGTTCAACAAATGGAGCTCGAATAAGGTAGTAGATCGAGCAGAGTCGTATATATTAGAGATAGTGAGAGGGAGAGAAAGAGAACACACAAATGTATATTGGACAATATGATAGTATCTCTATCATTATTCAGAACAATTGCAGAATAAACAAAGCAATAAAGTGAAAGAATTCACAAAGCGTAAATCTTGGAATGAGTAATCTATGGGGAGGAAGAAGAAGAAGGAGCAACTCGATCAGCCTCTATCATAGACTTTATGTAGTACTCTCCTGCTTTGTACGACGACCTCACCATTGGCCCTGATGCCACGTACCTGAATCCCTGTTTTACCAACATCCCATTTTTTAGCCTTTGTTTCCCATCAAATTTCCCAGCAAATATATATAATAAAAAGAAGAAAGAACATTACCATTTCCATGCCGAGAAGCCGATACCTCTCAAACGCCTCTGGTGTCACGTACTCAGCAACTGGCATGTGACGCTTAGAAGGTCTCATATACTGGCCAAATGTCATGACATCAACTCCTGCTGCTCTCACTTTCTCCATCGTCTTGACCACTTGATCAGGGGTCTCTCCACATCCCAGCATCACAGATGTCTTCGTTAAGGTACCAGCAGGCGCATACTCCTTAGCCATCCTAAGCACATCCATCGACTGCTTAAAGTTAGCACGGTGATCCCTCACAAAGCTCTGAAGCTCTTCCACTGTCTCAATGTTGTGGGCAAGGACGTCAAGCCCTGACTTGGCTACCTTTTCAACACATCCACTATCTCCACGGAAATCAGGAACTACCAATCAAATCAACAAAACAAAAATCAAAACTCAGAATTACTAAAAGAGGAACAAACAAATCACAATTTTACCACTAAACTATACCCGCTACAATCCAATTATTGTAATATAAATTGACCTTTTATCGAACAAAGTAATCCGAAGGAAAAAAATTGATTGATTACCAAGAGCTTCAATCAGCATTTCCGGCTTCAATTCTTTCAACCTCTGTACAGTTTGTGCAAAATGGCCACTCCCCTGATCAGGCAGATCATCACGATCTACACTGGTGATGACGACGTAATCTACACCCCAGGATGCTATAGCTTCCGCCACATTGTTGGGTTCATTAGGGTCAGGTGGTGGAGGTGTACGCGATGTCTTCACATTACAAAACCTAAACCATAAAGAAGAATCACAAAAACTCAAAATCAAAACCAAAAATCAAAATCAAGATGCTATTTAAATTGGACCTGCAGCCACGTGTACACGTGTCCCCGAGGATCATAATCGTTGCGGTGGCGGTTCCAGTTTCGCCGCCAGACCAGCACTCGCCGAGGTTGGGACACTTGGCCTCCTCGCATACGGTATGAAGGTTAAGGTCTCTCAGCTTCTTCTTGATCTGGACGTACCTCTCCCCGCCGGGGATAGACTCCTTCATCCATTTGGGCTTGGGGAGGGGCTTCTTCTTGGTGCCTACCTCAACCGAGTAGGTGTCTCCGTGGATGAAATCGGTGAGGGAAGGCGACTCATTCGCTAGACGAGCTCGGAGAGCCTCGAGGGTCCTGGGGGATTGAGTTGATGAGACGGGAGTGATCGGGGAGGAAGAGGAGAAGAATCTTGACGACGCTGGTCGAAGGAATCGAGAGACGAGAGCCGAGCGGGATTGCATCTCTTTCTCTCTCTCTGATGGACGAAGGAAAAGTTCTCTCACCGCAAAAGTTGGAAGGTGGGGGATGCCGGGATGGTGAAAAAACTTCTCCATCTCTCATTTGGGTGTTTCTAACAAGGCCAGGCCCATTACGTTTCACTACCCAGACTTGGCCCAATGATTTAAGAGAGTGTTGGTTATCTCTGGTTTAGTAAACCGGATCGGGATCAGTCGCTTGCAAGTGCAAGTGCAAGCGCTCGAATTGTAAGTGACAACAGAGGAGTGGCCCTCACGCTATCTAACTCAGCCAAAAATGTGTCTGCAACTATCAAGCTCCCAAGACAAAAACCCCAACGAGGTCTTATGGTCAGCATAAAGCGTCAAAGATACAATAGAGTGAGATGAATGTGCCTCTCTCCAATGTAGAGCATACAGGGCCGGCTTAATGGGGAGGGCAAACAGTGCACCCGCCCAGGGCCCACCTGAAACCCAATAAATTTTGATGACAAAAAGGGCCCATATATCTTCTTCTTTTATTAGGAAGGGCCCAGTTTTTTTTGTTTTTTTATTAGGAAGGGCCCAGTTTTTTTTTGTTTTTATGCTTAATGGGGAGGACAAACAATTTTTTTTTTGCCCAGGGGCCCAGCAAAACCTTAAGCCGGCCCTGAGAGCATATATAAGTGTAACGAAATGCAGAGAAGTGTAGCGAATTACAATGAATTACAATGAGTTACAATGAAATGCAGAGAAGTGTTGTGAATTGCAGAGAAGTATAGAAAGGGATATTTTAGTAAATAGTTAATACATAGATTCTCTTCTTTTTTTTTCTTTTTTTTTTGACCAAAATACATAGATTATCTTACAAACTATATATATATGTTGTAATATCTTACATTAATGAATTATCCAGTTTCATATTTTATATTGTATCAGAGCCATCGATACCTAATCCCAAATTTTTTTTCTAGGCGACAAAACCTACAGCAATCTTCGTTTCGAAATTCCATGCCTACCTCTCCTGCATCAACAAATGAGACCGTCTTGGACTGAGCTAAAATAACATGATATACAAATAATAATATCATGTTAATATTACGATATTTATGTAAAAAAACATATTTTGCATATTTTTAAAATTTTTAAAAAATAGCCGTACAGATGTACAGGTTAAAATATAGTTTTAATTATTATTTTAAATACATTCGAGATTGGTTTCTCAGAAAATAGTTTCTTATTTGACTCACAAGAGAACATAATCTTTTAGTTATGTTCTTATCAATTTTCAATCTAGATTTAGTTCGATCAAATACATGCACCACAAAAAATACATATTAATTAATATGATCATGCACCATTTATAACAAGATACACATATTACAACTCTTTATAGCTTTATACTTTTTATACACTCATAAATAATTGATCAAAATGAATCTCATTTTTGATAAAATAAATTTAATTTTAAGACTGCAACTTAATTATAATGTGTGACAGTAAATATGATTAAACTAATTATAAATCTAAGATAAATTATCTGAATAAATTTAATTTAGAAAACTTTAGTGGAACTATAATCCATTTTAAAGTTTGGTACACTAGATACCTAAAATTAAAACCTCATTACACTTCTAATATCTCCTAATGATTTAAAATTGTAATTGGATCTTTTGATGCCTCTGGAAGACTAGAAACTTGCTTGTCTTCAAAAATAGATCACCTTTGGCCATGCAGGATGCGAAAGAATGGCAATCAGCTCAAGCTACTGTAACTTCTGTATCACGTAACACATCGGTGAGGCCCTCGACCTTACCATCTTTTGAGAATGAGAGCCTGGTTTGCTTTGTAGATGCAGCTTGGGATGCTATCCCACGAAACTGTGGAATTGCATGGGTCTTCAAAGGGCGGGAGCAGGAGAAGTATCTGGAGATAAAGGCCTTAAGAAGGCATGTTGATCCGGCGCTGATTGCAGAAGCACTAGTGGTCCTTAAAGCGGTTATGGAAGCCTTTGTATCAAATGCAGAGTCTCTTCTAGTCTTCTCGGATTCACAAGTTCTGGTGAGGTTATTTACATAATACAATGTTTCACAAATTAAACCTCAAAATCGTTTTAGGGTTTCTTTATCACTTGATTATGGATCATTCGGATGATGATGGCATGGTCGATACTGATTCAGGTGATGAAAGTTTATTGAGTGACAACCTCGTAGATTCCGATTATGAATTCACCGATCAAGACATATATAGACAACGTTTCCACAGAAAAACGATCTCAAATAAGTTACTTTGTTCTGAAGAAAGAAGACCTTCGCAAGCATCAAAGAACTGATATTGAACAAGTTTCCACGGTTCTGCTTCTTCACTACCAATGGAATCTATATATAATAGCAAACCACTTCTAATGTCAGCATTTTTTTATAGGAAAAAAAAATTAATCCAACAGTCAGAAATTATTTCATTATAAAATCTAACGGTTAAGTTTTAGTTTCACTTAAATGTATGATGTCATCAATTGCTAATCTAAAAGGTGTATCTTAACATTTTTCAAACACCAAAAGACACAATTATTTTTTTAAAAAAAACAGCAAAGACACAATTTTTTTTTGTCTAGAATATTAAAAGACACAACCATTCAAAATACACGATCCTTTACAAAATTGTAACTTTTTTTTAAACCATTACCATATTTTTTAAAGAAAAATATTCAGAACTATTAATTATAAAATTATTTATGAAGAGATGTTATTTATCAATAGGTGGAAAAATGATAACAAGCGACTAACTGCTCTTTTGTCAGTTCCTTGAATAATCTCTTTTCAATCATATATTATTAAAGATATATGTTAAAATTGTGTCTCTCAATTAAACAAGTGTGTCAAAAATCTCAGGGCCACATTATTTAGTTTATTTTATACTAGGTGATTTTCCCGTGCTCATGCACGGACATAAATATTTATAAAATAAATATATTATAATAATTGATTGATAATTATTTTAAATTTTAAATTAATTTATAATTTGTAAGTATAATTTATATTAATATTATATTAATTTAATTATATATATAATTTTAGATATTATATTTTGTCAGTTTTATTGTTTTTACGGTTGATTTAGTTATCATATGGATATATGAGCTTCTATTTATTTCTCTGAATTCAAATATAATCTTTTTTATTCTAAATATATTGATTTTTTGATTAATTTTCTTATTTACATTTATGTCGGTTGTTATTTTTGAAATATAAGTATATCTAGTAAGATTATGTATAACTTAAGATTTTTTGTGCTTAGAAATAAAAAAATAAAAACTAAACTGTGTGATTCTAAATTACATACATAAGTAACTAATAAATTTTTGGAAGCTTATGAACACATATCAATATTTACAATATTTAGATTGATTGGATGGTAAACTGAACATTATTTTAAATATTTTAAAGACAAGGATTCTGATTTGTTTAAGTATTTTGATTATGGTTATATTAAGTTCCACAAACATAAAACAGAAAATTAAAAATCAAAAGAGTTATTAAGAAAACATATAATTTTAACTATTAAAATATAATATATCTACTTTGTTAAATTATATAGTTTTATGATATTTTAAAATAATTTTAGTTATTTGATCAAAAAATGTTTATTATTAAAATTTATTTTTAGTTTTTTTAATATCTCTTAAAAATATGCAGTAAAAATGTTGTTGTTTTGAGAAATTATATTATATAATTAAAATATAATTTATTTTTTTGATGTAATTGTAAGATATTATAGTCAAATAAATATACTAAAAATTTTAAAAAATATTTCAAGAATACTAATTATAAAAAAAAAAATTGTCAATTAAACATATATCAGTTTATGTTACTTAATTATTTTATGTAACCATCTAATAAAATAGATTGATATATGCAAAAAATAATTACTTCGAAAAAATATATATATATATATATATATATATATATTTATTTATTTATTTTTTAAAATTATTATTTATTAAATAAAAAATATTTATTTTTTCTAATATCAAGATTAGTTGTGTAAGCTTTTTTTATGGAATCACATTATATACAAATATTGTTTTCATAAGAAGATATAGATATGAAGTATTTTATAACTTAAAAAGTATATTTTATATTATTTAAAATATATTTAAATTAAATATTACTATTTTGTGAACTATCTTTTTTTATGAAAAATATATTTTAATAGGACATGTTCTATTACTACAATCGACCGATCGACTATTTCTTAAAATTGAAGACAACAATGAGAAAAGGAAGAACAAATCGATGATTGGTTCTATTAATTCCCTACTTAAATGGAGTACTTTAATAGGACCTGTTTTAAAATTTTAGAAATATTTTCTTTTTGGGTTTGCAGCATTTTCCAATGCCCACAAATCAATCCTACCCTTATCTCGAAGACTGGTCTGGTCAACAACAGTTACTTTGCCACCATACTCTACAAGACACACATTCATCTCTGCAGGAAGAGGCAACTCCTCCGCACGAGGTACTTGGATCATTTTGAAGTCATGGGATCTAACACCGAAACTCACAAGCATACAGCTATCATCAGCAGTCCAACCAAGGTAATATATAACCCCGTCGATACACACGCCTCCTCTGGCCGCAATATGAGGAATAAAGTCCGGAGGATGAAGTGGATTCGCCTTTCTCCAGGAACCTCCTCCTTCAGGTTTGAGTACAAAGACACGATGATGGGACCTTACCTTTTGCGTATTGGTCAGACGGACACCAACTGAGCAGACCACTTTGTACTGGTTCGTAATAGGGTCGTGTCCAAAATAGTAGGAGCCTACGGTGCCTTTGCTACTGAATTTGATGGCAGAGGGTAAAGTGACAAGCTTTCTCGTGGCAGGGTTAAAGATAAGCGGCTTATTCCATAGGTCGTAGCACATGAAGCCGCCTAGATTTTGGCAGATGTAGCCACCTCTCATCCGTGGGATGGTGAGGTCAACTACAAAGGAAGAAGAAGAAGACGGAGTATCATGACTGTTAGCGTCTGGAACCAGTGACAGCGTGACAGAGCTACTGTGGTCATTGACATCCTGCAAACACATGAAAAGATGTGGGCGTTGTCGGGTTGGGACCGTGAGGAAACGGTCTCTGAAGTATGGTGAGCTGATGCAGGATGACCAAATCTTTGAGACGCATTTGAATCTCATCAATGATTTAGCAGGCAGTTTCGTAAGGACCTCCTTCGTGACCACATGCATAGGAATATGCATCTCCATCTCCATCTCCGGTAGTCTTCTTATTCTCTTTCGTTTGATCATTGGTCTACGGTAAGTACGGTGAGGACGGTGAGGATGACGGCGAGGACGCATCGAGTAGCCGCCAAATATACTTTAGGAGAGAAAGGAGGAGTTTAGGGTTTAAGATTGCCTTGTGGTTGGTATATACTGTATATATATATGTATCCCGTGCATACGCACGGCGTTTACATACTTTCTACTAAATATCTTATACAATAAAGTTGAGTTTTCTCACTTCTCAAGCCTCCACATCAGCATTAGAGCATGGGGCAAAAAAAGACATGTCAGCATTTAATAATTGAAATCAAACCGGACAAAATTAATTCTCATCTCGGTTTGTCACATTCTGATTTTTTGAGTTTTTGACAAAATGGGTTTGGGCTCTTTAAAATATAATGGCCA